TATACAAAAAATTTCAAGAAATTACGCGCATGCACGTGTGCTGCGATCTGATTGGCTGAAACTTTAAATGACTATATCTCCGTTGTTTTTTGACGAAATGCTTTGAAATTTAAAACATAATCATTCATTAGGATATCCTACAATGCGATATAGAAAAAAAATCATGAAATCACGTGCATGCACGTGTGCTGCAATCTGATTGGCTGAAACTTGAAATGGCTATAACTCCCTTGTTTTTCAACCAAACAGGATGGGATTCAGAACAAAGATAAATATAAGGGACTCCTACAAGAAGGTATAGTCATCATGCATGTGCACGCACGTGCGTGCATTTGGAACGACTGAACTTAGAAATACACTTGAATGAGTGATTTTTAATACTTTTGGACTGAATGCTTTCACATATGGTATATTACAGGGAATATGGCACTAAAAGGAAGTTGGGGAGCGTTTGGGGAACATCTGTAACGGTTCCCGTTACAATTAGCCCTAGTTTGATTTGGATTACCATGTAAACACACAATTTCCATTGAATTTTGGCCCCGTCCTACTTTTTGAAGCTTTACGTATGTGAGCACAAGAAGGTACATTTTTTTCCTTTGGCTATTCACCGTATTTTACCGAAATCTATATGTATACATATATATACTTTCCCTCAATTTTTGAACCAAATATAGCACAAATACCTGTATATAACCACCAACACGTGTCCTGTGACTTAATTCTGGCCTTACGCATGCGTCAAAATTTAATTCAAATTAGCTTTGCCTAGCGTTCACACGGAGCTAATGCGAAGTAATTTAATGCGCAGTAAATTAATTCGAATTAAACTAATTCGCATTAAATTCTCCGTGTGAACGCTAATTATAAGCGAAGCTAATTCGGAGAAAATTTACGTTTAATTCGAATTAAACTCTCCATGTGAACAGGGCATTAATTCGCATTAGTTTACTTCGCATTAGCTGTCGTGTGAACGCAATTTAATTCGCATTAATTTAATTCGCTTTAGTTTAACTCGCATTATCTGGAACATGCTTTTGCGTATTTGATTAACTGAGAGATATTAACCCCGTACAAGTGAAAAGGGCATAATGCTACATTAACATATACGTATAGGTAATGTAGGTTAAACGATTGAAAAGTTAAAATTTCTAAATGTGAAATAGACGTGTTAGACTCTGTCGAACCGTTAACCTGAAGCACACTAAGTCAATATCATGTCAAGATATGAATGGAAATAACTATTGTTAATTCAATAATTAATTCAGTATAGGCTCCGTAAGTCTCGGCACGTGACTTCCGTGACATTGCGAGATTATTTACTCCTGGGCAGTCGAAGTTATGGCGTTGTAAATAACTATGATTGTTACTTCATGTAAATACAAAAATATGTCTGCTAATAACGGGTTGCAAGTGGCACCCTTGGGAATTCCAGTAGATCGTTGGAAGCCCTGGTCTCCAAAAACTACATAAATATTGGCAATGAGAAACTCAAGCATCTTTTATTATCAACTTCAGAGTACTGTAAATCACTTTTTTTCGCGAGAACTTTATTTTCGCGTAATTAAGCGAGTCCGTCTGTTCGCGGAAATTTTATTCTCGCGTGTAATTGTATTATATTTATATACAACAGAAATCACAACTCGCGAAAATTTTGTCTCGTTAATAAATATCAAAAAGCTTAGTCGTGAAAATAAATTGTCGCGATAATATAGTGATCTACAGTATATGTTACTTTTCCTCATAACCTCCGATATGCAATTTGTACCCTTCATCTTCATCATCAAATACTAACGTTCTATATATATATACAGCGTATTTACTGTTTTATTCCTGTCCGTCATCTCAATTCTAAGTGTGTAGTGATCCTGATTTGTGAGTCGGTGTATCACGTTGTTTCCGAGCCAATGTTCTCCATATACTCCTACAAAATAACATTCGAAGATTTAAACAAAACAACTACCTTAGATATCTCTTTGGTGCGAATAGCTTGATAGGCAAAACACAAATTGCTATGCGAGATGGTATTTCTTCGCAATTTGAAATTTCTTTCATAATCTTATGTAAAAAAGAAATAATAAAGTAGGGAAATGATAGACATGATTGATATTTATTTATGTACTCCCAATTTTCTTTTGGCGTACTAGTGTGTAAAATGTGAAGGTAACAATGTTCAATATCATAAATCCAGTGAACAAAGCAAATCGTGAACAGGCAAAACATGGAAAAATCAAATTATGAACAGGCAAAGACGAGCGTAATCAAATTGTGAACAGGCACAGACGTGGAAAAAACAAATCGTGAACAGGCAAAACATGGAAAAATCAAATTGTGAACAGGCAAAGACAAGCGTAATCAAATGGTGAACAGGCACAGACGTGGAAAAATCCAATTGTGAACAGGCACAGACGTGGAAAAATCAAAATGTGATCAGGCAAAGACGTGGAAAAAACAAATCGTGAACAGGCAAAGATATGGGTAAAACAAATCGTGAACAGGCAAAGACATGTACAAAACGAATCGTGAACAGACAAAGAAACTATGGGAACTTCAGTACTTTGTTTATTTAAACAGAAGGTAATTTATATTTTTAAATTGTAATTTTCCTTTATAAATCTGTATTTTCTTTGAAACTCATTAATTGTAGCAGGTGTATAAATAGTCAGCCAATTTTGACGTTATATTTACTTTCTATGCATGTCAATTGATCGTGGCTTTTAATGTCTTATTATGATAAACCAAAAATAACGAAGAAACCTACCATCCATTTGTTCAATAAAATGTCTTTCTCTCAATCTGGCCAAAGGGCAGAGACTTGACCTTCCGGCCTGGCGTTTTTCTTGGCGGAAATCCCCGATCAGGCCCATGCATACCAACATGTAAAAATCTATCCGGCTCATTTTGGTGCGCAATCCCCTGTTTTGCCGATAAATGATATAGGCATTGGCTAAGAAGATGTTTAATTAAATTTAATTCTTAGTTTCGGAACACTTTTTAAAATTCATTCATTTGGATATTTTTCATCAAATTATATCTGTAATTCAATATAAGGTTCAAAACCGATGTGTAAGTCCGTTAGAAATATGTTTTCATTTCTTTCATATGCAAAATTGTATAAATTTTATATTATTCAACGGAGTCAATTATTGACATACATAAAATTCTCAGGAGAAAATTAATGAGGATTTTCTTCCACATTTTGTTGGATCTGACGTCAGGGTCGTATAATTCAAGTGCTTTGTCCGACAAGTCGACACCGCCCATCTTCTTGTTGTAAACAAGATTGACCTCAGGAACATCAACTTCTACCCCCCTCGCATTTTGTGTGGAAATAATGTTGTGAAGTTCAAGTATATGTACGAACAATATATCATTATATGAGAGCACAAGTGTATTAAGAAAAAGAATATAGAACAAAAAATCTTATAAAGGCCTAGTGTTAAATTATGATATTTTGATTAACTAGACTTTTTTCATTCCATTATGACATTGAATTTAAAGTCAAATAATTTATAATTCTTATTTTGGATTCCAGGAAAATGTATTACTTGGGGTTTGCAAGCGTAGACATAAATGTCACTGTTTTCCGATCTCCATAACACAGTGTCATTATGGGGCCACTCTGTTTAACCACCGACTCCCCTCTTTGTAATTTTAGTCCTCGCAGTGAACGCGGCATCCCCTTTCTGCATACTCTAACAGTGCCAGTCATGTAGGTATCGGATGCAAAGAGTGCATCACAAAGGGCCGGGCTTGAAAAATAGTTGTCGCACACAACCTGATGATGTCGATACAAATACGGTTGAATTAATTGCATGATGACATCATACCCTACACCATGAACACTGCGGGGGTTATCCTGTTGTCTGCCTGTTTATCAAATTAACCAAAAATATGTATTTTTAAGTCTCGATCTATGAATGGCCAATTTAAAAGTAAACTAGTAAAAATTAAAATATTTATTCATATGATAACGAATTGTATAAAAAGGAGTAATTGCGGAACCAATATTTCTGGATGGTATTTTTTTTAATTGAAGTTCATCAATTAAATTTTTGAAATAAAAAAGGAAATGATCTTTGGAAAAGATCAAATTTAATTCAACTTCTCTACGCATTAACTCAATTGAGTAAGAAATAAAGGCATCAATTGAATTAATTCGTGTCATAATTCGGAAGATGTTATTTGGCGAGTATAATCTAATTGAATTGGTATCTATATAAAGTTAATTTTTTTTAAGATAACAGTAGATAATTAAAGATATCTCCAATTTTTGAAAGTATATAATATTTTTACCTCATACATATCAATTATAATGTTCTTAATTTTAATTGATAAGACAGATAAGGACGTGCATATAATTGAACAGCCGCGTTGTATCCGGTGTCCGACTCCGCTAATACAAACAGTTTCGCTCCCCACTGGTGTGACTTTTTTGCAGGCACATACTGCACTATGTCATTGCGACCCTTTAAGGAATTAAAATATGGTTTACACAAAAAAATAAGACTTATACATATAATATAGAATATAAAACGAGAATTTACCCTACACTTTTTTTTATAAACTATATATTGCAGGAGTACATGTATATAGTGCTGTAAAGATATGAGCATTATTTTATGACTGGGAAAATTTATGTAGACCTCAAGTTAATATTTTTCGTATTCAATTGAAATGTTTATCTCTTAAAATTCGAAAGAAAATTAATTTTAAAAAGTACTTAAAAGAAAAATACCAGTCGTAGCTTTAATTTGATAACAGAGTATTTTAACGTACCGGTACATGCTAGAGAATTCGAATCAGTTATTTCCTAAATAAAGTTAATAAATAAATGCATCTTTACTTTCTGTTTGATGTAGATTTTTTTAAAATATATATATATTCTATATATTTATATTTTATTCTTCAGTCGGATATTTATAGTATATTCAGGTAATAAGAGTGTTTTCATGCGAAATGAATACTTAGGTACCTTAAATCCGACCATGCTTTCATCTATAGTCAGATCTCTTGCCAAGTCGTATGCCTTTGGAAATGTACTATTGATAAGGTCCAGTACTGGTCGAAACTTGGCGCTGGGTCATACCCAGGGGTCCCGCGAGGAACATATGTTGCATTATCATTGCAATGGAGAAATTTGGAAATAATTTGAAACCTGTCTCTGGTCATAACCTCTGGATACAATGGTGACCTAAAAAGCCAGGGCGATTCCTGCCAGTAAGACTCAATGCTGGGTTTTTTAAGTATCCCCATCGACAAGTACAACCCCAAATAAGCTGCCATTTCACTATTATTAGTATCTGACCATTTATGGTTCCTTGAATAAGGTTTGGGATCACGCTGCGAAGAAATAACCTGTCCTGCATAGCGATTTGTTTCCTCGACCAGAATGTCTATAAGACTTCTTCCATCATCAGGTACACAAAGTTTGTTGAAATATTCAACAGGTGGAGCTTCAACGTCAGGTGGATTAACAGGGCCCATATGTCTTGTAAAAGGCCTGATAGCATGAGGATATTCAAAATCATTCACATACCCTACATTTGTCCATATTCTGTTCGAAGGCTGAGGAACATCATCTTCACTGTCAGATTCGGACTCAAACTCAAAATCAGAGTCATTTTCGGAAGCAGAATCCATTTTTCCAATGTTGGAAAAATTACGTAACAATTAAACAATGACGTAATTTTTGCAAAATTTACGGGAAACTGTGTTAGTGAACTAAAAGGTTATTTTCTTTTTTGATTTATTCAAAAGGGGAGAGGATAAATTTTTCCATCTAATAATCTACTGTATTTGCAAATTAAAGATTTAAAACTTGCAAATAGAATAATTATAATTTTTTTTCATGATCATTATATTCAGCGCCCTTTTTTCGGATATGGGTTAAATTAAATTGTTAGAAAAAAAATCATGCATAAATAAATGTTAATACTGTATACAGGGTTATTTTCGCCCTATGTTATTTTCGCCCTTTTGAACTTATGAACAATTTTGCCCCGACAAAACCGAGCGACACTACGTCACGTGTCATACTTTCGTTTTCTGCAGAAGCCAAGGAGTTGTCGATTTTGAATGATTACGCGATAAATTGACCAAGACTGTATTGTTAAACTAGACATACGAGCCAGTGTATATCCCTTAATTAATGATTTTTCTTGAAGGTCTTACTTGCAGTTTCAATCTTTCTTTGTTTACATTTACAGTCTTAGTCAATTAATCGCGTTAACATCCGAAATCGACAACTCCTTTGCTTCTGCAGAAAAATGTAAACAAAGAAAGATTAAAACGGCAAGTAAGACCTTCAAGAAAAATCATTAATTAAGGGACATAAACTGGCTCGTATGTCTAGTTTAACAATTTAAGCGAGAAAATAGCTGATGAAGCGAGGTGGTATCCAAAATGGCGTCCTCCCTTGAGTTTTTTTCTCCTAGGTACCAATTTTTAAAACAATTATTTTCTCTACACAAGCCCCTGTGATGCATGGATAGAAAAGCGGTTTTTGCTTTAGACTATGCCCAACACGTGTCCATATTTTCTCTGCACTTCAGTTTGTCAATCAGGATTGGATGAAACATTACCCCATTATCTCTAATTTTTTAATGTTTATGATTACTCTGCGTTTTTGTTAAACAGTTAGACACTCTTTTTTAATATTATATTAAGACAGATTATTTTATTAACATATTAAATAATCTCATTTAATTGACGAAAAAAGTCTAGTGCGATTTGATTGTATGCTTATACTAAGTACAAGTTAATTGGTTGCAACATTCCTTGGTACGACCTATCTAATATCACACAATTTCCGTTTCCGCTGTTTGGAAAAATCACAGTAACCTGCACAACAAAATTTTTTGTAAATTTGAGAAGTATCGGCTGCCATCCGAGGTACTACGGAAAATATGCCACCTGTACGAACTCGCACGGATACGAGAGGGAGAAAGGAGTACACTCGGAGCTTCATAACGCCTTCCAGGGGCAGGGGAAGGAAACGAAGGAGGGAGGGCGAAAGGACAGGACCACATGGCGATCACACGCAACATGGCGTCGACCAAATTCCCACACCAGCGGGGGCCATCGTCAATGTGGCCAGTCAAAGCCAGCCTCATGGAGACGAATTGGTCGGGATAACTAACAAGAGGCCCATGGGCCTTATAGGTCACCTGAGCATTATGCAACAACTTTCCAGTCATGTTTTAAGCCAGATGCTATGGCATTCACAATTTTGAAAGAGGCATCATTGATCATCATAACTATACACTTAGCAGTTGCTTAGTTTGGTTACTTAATACCCATTGACAAGGCAGAGGAACAAAAAATACATTTCAACTAATCAGTAATATACAGCAATAATCAGTAGTGCCCCTACTACACATGAACCCCTGACCCTTAGGCCTAGATCCACACATTGCACAATTTTTGAAAAGGCATCCTTGCTTTTCAAAAATATTTGATTATAATTTAATTAATACCTAGGAGCAGATTTCAAACAATTCATTCATTTTCAGTCTATAAGTATAGCCCCCCCCCCCTCTCTATGGTACCCCTGACCCTGGGGCCTTGAAATTCACAATTCTGGAAGATAACGGTCCTTGTTCGTAACTATATAGGTAATTCAACTGCTTAAAACCCAGGAGCAGAGAAGAAAATTTTCAAAGATTTTATGTATTTCACTATAATCAATAGAGCCCCCCCTAACACCAGAACCCTGACCCTAGGGCTCTAAAATTCACAACTGTGGTAGAGGCACTCTTGCTCATTATAACTATGCATTTAGTTTGTTTATTTAATACCTAGGAGCAGAGAAGAAGATATTAAAAGAATTCATGAATTTTCACTATATAATCAATAGAGCCCCCCCCCCCCCAACACAAGAACCCCTGACCCTGGGGCCATAAAATTCACAATTTTGGTAGAGGCACTCTTGCTCATCAAAACTATGCACTTAGTTTATTTAATACCCAGGAGCAGAGAAGACGATTTTCAAATAATTCATGTATTTTCACTATATAATCAATAGAGCCCCCCCCCCAACACCAGAACCCCTGACTTTGAGGTCCTAAAATTCAAAATTTTGGTAAAGAACTCTTACTCATCATAACCATGCACTTAGTTAATCTATTTAATAACCAGGAGCAGAGAAGAAGATTTTTAAAGAATTCATGTATTTTCACTATATAATCAATAGAGCCCCCCCCCCCTTATACAAGAACCTATGACCCTGGGGCTTTAAAATTCACAATTTCAGTAGAGGCACTCTTGCTCATCATAACTATGTACTTAGTTAGTTTATTTAATACCTAGGAGCAGAGAAGAAGACTTTCAGAGAATTCATGTATTTTCACTATATAATCAATAGAGCCCCCCCCCTAACACAAGAACCCCTGACCCTGGGGCTTTAAAATTCACAATTTTAGTAAAGGCACTCTTGCTCATTATAACTTTGCACTTAGTTTATTAATACCTATGAGCAGAGCAGAAGACTTTCAAAGAATTCATGTATTTTCACTATATAATCAATAGAGCCCCCCCAACACCAGAACCCCTGACCCTGGGGCCATAAAATTCACAATTTTGGTAGAGGCACTCTTGCTCATCATAACTATGTAAGTAGTTTGTTTCTTTAATAACCAGGAGCAGAGAAGAAGATTTTCAAAATAATGCATTTTCACTACATACTTATTTAGCCCCACCCTAGCACTAGAACCCCTGACCCCAGGGCCATGAATTTCAAAATTTTGGTAGAGGACTCATTGCTGATTACAATCTGCAAACAGTTTGACTGCTTGATGTCCAGGAGTAAAGGAGAAGATTTTTAAAGATTGCATAAATTTTAGTGGTTTTGGCCCCACCCCTCAGGCCCCAGGGGGGCAGGGATCATGAAATTCACAATTTTTGTTCCCCTTCACCCATAGATGCTTTGTGCCAAATTTGGTTGAAATTGGTTCAGTGGTTGCAGAGAAGAAGCTGAAAATGTTCAAATGTTAACGCACGACGAACGACGGACGACAAACGACGACGGACGAAAACAGATAGCAATAGGTCACCTGAGTTTACTCAGGTGACCTAAAAATCAGGAAATTGGTGAGTCTGAGATTCTAATGCCACCCACTGAAAATTTTGTTGGACCGAATTTTAGTATTCAAGAATATCAACCAATTTTGAACACTTGCGCCTTTGACCCGATCAATGCACATGTCCCTCTAAAGCTCAAAACAAAAATTTGGGAGGGACAATTCATAAATTTGTCCCTCCTCTTAAAATCCGCTAGGGAACTGGTCGACCACGAAAATACACAAGGTCAGATTCAAATACGCAACGGCACCATGTGCCTTGTCAAGCAAAAATCAAACACTTTCCTATCTATTGAAGAATGGACATCTGCATTCATTATATTTACAAGTATTATGCTGGAAAAGTATAGAACAAGGTCCCAGGAACTATTAAAATACATGCGGGATGTAAGAATTGCAGAATCCCGATCTACAGGTTGGTTCAAGTATGATGAACAGTTTCGCCTACTCAAAGTGTCTAACCCCCAGTCTTCCTGGGGCCAAATAAACAGCGAATTGTGGCTATTGTATATCACGAACAACAGTCTAACTCAGGCTCAAGATAGGGTTAACTCTCAAAGCAAAGTCAATCACACAAATAACATAACTTCAGCCCAACAAAACCGTTCATCATCTAGTGCTAATGCTACCCAATATTGTCATTACTATAATGCTGGTAAATCATGCAGGTTTTACCCAAATTGTAGGTTCAACCATGCATGCAACTTGTGTGATGGGAGACATGCAGCATCCATTTGCGAGAGCACTAAACAATTCTAGCCTTGTATCATCAATTTGTACACTGGGGAAAACTCCTATTAATGTTAACATATTGTCTCACTACACTACCTACATTAATTTATTATAAAGAAAAAACAGTTATGTTAAATGGTGTCAATCTGGGTTTCAAATTGCAGTACCAGGGCCCCAGAGATTATAGGGAGGCAAACAATCTAAAAAGTATTCACCAACAAATATTGCACAAGAAAAGATAAACAAAGAAGTCTCCTAACAACGGGTTGGGGGTCCCCTTTGATCATCGCTTATATTGGCATGGTGCACCATTAAAAAGTGGCCACAAGATTGATAAAAACACAGGAAAATAAACAAAAGGGTCAACAAGTTCATTACTGAATGGGGGGGGGGTTATATTACATGATATCATATCGGTCAACAACATAGGTCTATTTTGGGACACACCTCTCTGATGAGGGCAATCAAGTGATGTTAAATAACCTTATGTCGGGTGTGCTTATAATAAAATAATTAATGAATAAAACATGGGTGGTTTTGGTGCATAGGGTATGGAGGAACATCATATCGATGTCTGTGGCGGGTCTTGGGGGATATAAGTGGGAAGTTTTCAAATTATCTGGCCTTAGGGTTTCCCCCCATGTCATCTAAGACAGAGGGCGGTTTGTAAAAAGCAAATTTTTACATATGTACGTATGTGTTTTGGAAAAGTGTGTCAAAGATTGGGGTCACTCAAGTTAGACAGTCTTGGTGCCCACTCCACCTCTTCACACAGGAGGGGAGGCTTAGTCCTGGAGTACATGGTAAAGTACTAACAACCAGGTGCAATCA